TTTGATAGGGATTTCATTGAATCTGTAGATTGCTTTGGGTAATATGGTCATTTTAACAATCTTCCAACTCATGATCATGGAATATTTTTCCATTTTTTTGAGTCATCTTCAATTTCTTTCATCAGTGTTTTATAGTTTTCATTATAGAGATATTTTGCTTCTTTGGTTAATTCTTACGTATGTAATTTTATGTGTAAACATTGTAAATGGGATTACTTCTTAATTTCTTTTTCACATTGTTCACTGTTGGCATATAGAAATGTTATTGATCTTTGTGTGTTGATTTTGTATCCTGCAACTTTACTGAATTCGTTGATCAGTTCTAATAGTTTTCCTTTGGAGTCTTCAGGTTTTTCCAAATACAAGATCATATCATCTACAAAGAAAGATAATTTGACTTCTTCCTTTCCAGTTTGGATGCCCTTTATACCTTTCTCTTGTCTGACTGCTTTAGCTAGGACTTCCAGTACTATGTTGAATAATGGTGACAATAGGCATCCTTGTCGACTTCCAGATCTTAAAGGAAAAGCTTTGTTTTTTTTCCTATTCAGTATGATACTAGTTGTGGGACTGTCATACATGGCTTTTATTATGTTGAGGTAAGCTCCTTCCATCCCCTGTTTTTTTAGGGTTTTTATCATGAAGGGATGTCAAATTGTATCAAATACTTTTTCAGCATCAATTGAAATGATATGGTTTCCAGTCTTCATTCTGTTGATATGATGTATCACATTGATTTATTTGCAACCATCCTTGCATCCCAGGGATAAATCCCCTTTGGTCATGATGAATGATCTTTCTAATGTATTGTTGAATTCAGTTTGCTGGTATTTTATTGAGGATTTTTGCATCAATATTCATCAGAGATATTGGCCTATAGTTTTCTTTTTTCAATGTGTCTTTGGTTTTAGAATCAGGGTAATACTGGCCTTGTAGAATGAGTTTGGAAGTATTCTCTCTTCCTCTATTTCAGAATAGTTTGTGTAGTATTGGTGTTAGTTCTTCTTTAAATGTTTAGTAGAATTTAGCAGTTAAGCCATCTTAAGAGTTCTTTATCAGACATATGTTTTGCAAATATTTCTTCCTTGGATGTCATTCTCTTAACAGTGTCTTTCACAGAACGGAGGTTTTAGTTTTTTTAATTTTAATTTTAATTTTTGAGATGGAGTTTCACTCTTTGTTGCCCAGGGTGGAGTGCAGTGGCACGATCTCGGCTCACTGCAACCTCCGCCTCCCAGGTGAAGTTGCTTGATCAACTCTCCTATCTCAGCCTCCTGAGTAGCTGTGATTATAGGTGCCTGCCACCATGCCCAGTTAATTTTTTATTTTATTTATTTATTTTTTAGATGGAGTCGCCCTCTGTCGCCCAGGGTGGAGTGCAGTGGCACAATCTTGGCTCACTGCAACCTCCACATCCTGGGTTCAAGTGATTCTCCTGCCTCAGCCTCCCCAAGTAGCTGGGACTACAGGCGCGCGCCACTATGCCCAGCTAATTTTTTTTTAATTTTTAGTAAAGACAAGGTTTCACCATGTTGGCCAGGCTGGTCTCGAAATCTTGACCTCAGGTGATCCTCCCGCCTCAGCCTCCCAAAGTGCTGGGATTACAGGCATGAGTCACTGCGCCTAGCCAGAGGTTTTTAATTTTAATGAAGTCCAACTTACTAGTTTTTTCTTTCATGGATTGTACTTTTGGTGTTGCATCTAAAACCTCATTGCCGAACATAAGGTCAACTATATTTTCTCCTATGTTATCTTCCAGAAGTTTTACAGTTTTGCATTTTACATCTAGGTCTGCAACTCACTTTGAGTTAAATTTTGTAGAAGGTATAAGGTCTGCATGTAGATTTAAAACTATATATATATATACGGCTTTCTGGTTGTTCTAGCATCATTTGTTAAAGACCATTATTGCTCCATTGACTTGCTTTTGCTCCTTTGTCAAAGGTCAGTTGACTATTTATGGGTGGGCTCCCTATCATGTTCCATTGATCTATGTGTCTGTTCTTTCTCAAATACCACACTGGAGATAGAGTCTTGCTCTATCACCCATGGGGGCTGGAGTGCGGTGGAGTGATCTCGGCTCACTACAACCTCCGCCTCCTGGGTCCAAGTAATTCTCGTGCCCCAGCTTCCCAAGAAGCTGGGATTACAGACATGCACCAACACACCCAGCTAATTTTTGTATTTTTAGTAGAGATGAGGTATCCCCATATTGGCCAAGCTGGTCTTGAACTCCTGGCCTCAAGCAATCCCCCACCTTGGCCTCCCAAAGTGCTGGGACTATGGGTGTGAACCACTATGCCCTGCCTAGATCCATATCTAAGTACAGGCTGAGCATCCCTAAATCTGAAAGTCAGAAACACTCCAAAACCCAAAACTTCAAGCCGCGACATGACATTCAAAGGAAATGTTCATTGGCGCATTTCAGATTTAGGATTTTTGGATTACGATGCTCAATGACTAAATTTATAATTCGAATATTTCAAAATCTAAAAAAAATCTCTAATCCAAAACACATCTGGTCTCAAGCATTTCAGATACGTGATACTTAACCTGTATTACTTTGGGGAGACAGTACTATTGTAAACGGCATTGTGTTTTTAATTATAAATTCCAATTGTTCATTGCTGGTATACAGGAAAACAACTGACTTTTGTATTCAACCTTGTATCCCAAAATACTAGAGTTTTATTTCTTCCTTCCCAATATGTGTACTTTAAATTTACTTCTTGTTAGCTAGAACATCAAGTACCACGTTGAAAAGACTGGTTGAAGGCCGGGCGCGGTGGCTCAAGCCTGTAATCCCAGCACTTTGGGAGGCTGAGACGGGTGGATCACGAGGTCGGGAGATCGAGACCATCCTGGCTAACACGGTGAAACCCCGTCTCTACTAAAAAATACAAAAAACTAGCCGGGCGAGGTGGCTGGCGCCTGTAGTCCCAGCTACTCGGGAGGCTGAGGCAGGAGAATAGCGTAAACCCGGGAGGCGGAGCTTGCAGTGAGCTGAGATCCGGCCACTGCACTCCAGTCTGGGCGACAGAGCGAGACTCCGTCTCAAAAAAAAAAAAAAAAAAAAGAAAAGACTGGTTGAGAGGGGACATGCTTGCCTTGTGTCAGACTTTAGGTGGAAAGAATGTAGTTTCTCACAATAGAAACAATCTATTGTTAGCTGTAGAATTTTTGTAGATGCTCTTTTATCAAGTTGAGGAAGTTCTCCTTTATTCCCAGTTTGCTGAGTTTTTATTATGAATGGATGTTGAGGAGGGGCACTTATTATTTGTGTGTGACAGGATCTCACTCTGTCACCCAAACTGGGGTGCAACCTCACCTCTCACGTTGAAGCGATACTCCCAAGGAGCTGGGACTACAGATGCCGCCACATCCAGCTAATTTTTAAAAACACTTTTGTAGAGATGGGGTCTCATTATGTTGCCCTGGCTGATCTAGAACACTTTGGCCTCCCAAAGTGCTGGGATTACAGCCATGAAACACTGCACCTGGCCAAGGATGTGCACTTTTTAAATGTTGCTTTAAATCAATCTATCCTGGAAATTGCAAGCAACATGAAATGGCAACTGTTCACAACAACTGCCTACTATAATCAATATTCTTGTGCAGTGCATATACTGAGCGTGGGAGCCCCCAAAAAATCACTTGCCTTCATGGTCTTTGGCAAATAAATATTTTATTTTTTATTTTTGAGACAGGGACTTGCTCTATCGCCCAGGAGGGATAGGGTGCAGCAGCGAGATCTAGCTCACCGCAACCTCCACCTCCTGGGCTCAAGCCATCCTCTCACTTCAGCCTCGGGAGTAGCTGGGACTACAGGCGCGCCGCCAAGCCCGGCTAATTTTTGTACTTTTGGTAGAGACAGAGTCTAACCATGTTGCCCTTGCGCTCGAACTCCTGACCTCAAGTGATCGACCCACTGGACCTCCCCAAGCGCTGAGGTTACAGGCGTGAGCCACCGTGCCCGGCCTCCAAATACTTAGGACTTTAAACTTGGAAACCCTATTCACAACACAAACTCCGAGTGAAGCTCTGTGGAGCTTTCTTACAGGAAGAAATGCAGGAGTTAATCAACAGGTATGTGGGATGTTCCCGCATCAAATCCTAAAGATAAAATTTTAACCCAGTTCCTCTTGCATGTATCTGCTTCTCCCCAACCTTGTCTCGCAGAAGCCACAGCACGGTCTGAAAACACGCCTCATCTAGATTCAACACCTCATTTAGAAATTCAGTTTCTCGTTGCTAGTTGGATAGCGTTTGGCAAGTAATTTGAAAAAATAAAAATAAACCCACGGACGGAGTGGTCTGGGATTTAAACAACATAACGTAAGGTGAAAAAAGCACTCAGGCGCGGACAGCCATGGAGCGTGACTTCCTCTGCACTCTTTCCCGGCCAGCTCCACGCCAGAGCCGCGCGCTAGGCGGAGGCTGTTGGTAGCGGAGGCCGGAGTCGCACGCCTACGAGACTGCGCGGACCCACCCGAAAGGAAAATGGAGGTAGTGGCGTGAGGCTGCGACAGTGAAGGGTATTTTTCTCTTTTTAACGGGCCACTAGACCTCCCGTCAAAGGAAGCGCCCGACGGGCCTTCGAAGTCCACGCCCAGACCCCACAGCGCAGCCGCCCGACCGCCTCTCTCCACACCGGCCAGGGTCCAGCCTCTCCCACTCTCCTCTCCCCGCCCCGCCCCGCCCCTCCGCCCAGCCAACCCTAGACCCGGCATGCGCTGCGCCGACCTTTTCCTTCCGAGCCGACCCCCACCTTCGGCGCCTCCCAATGACAAGAGGCGCGGAGCATTGTGGTCCCGCGCGCGAGAGCGAGGCCGAGGACAGAAAAAGAAAGCAAAAGACCAGGGCGAGCCGGTAGAGCAGACCCCGCGCATGCGCACGGGCGGGGGCGGTGGTGAAAAAGGGCGGTGCGTGGTCTACGGCGAGCGGAGTGGGGCGGGGTCGCGCGCCTTGGCTGGGAGTCCGCGAGCCGGGAGGGGCGGGGGGTGAATGAGGGAGCGGGCGGAGGAGGAAGTGTCATGGCGTCGGGCCGTGGAGCTTCTTCTCGCTGGTTCTTTACTCGGGAACAGCTGGAGAACACGCCGAGCCGCCGCTGCGGAGTGGAGGCGGATAAAGAGCTCTCGTGCCGCCAGCAGGCGGCCAACCTCATCCAGGAGATGGGACAGCGTCTCAATGTGTATCCTTTCCTATCCTGCGCCGCTCACGCCCTGTTTCCCTTGCCCGGTCGCCGGGCCTGGTGCTCCGCGAACATGGCGCCGCCGGCCTCGGCCTTCGCTGGACCTCGGCCCCGCGGTCAGGGAAGTAAGGCTCCAGCTCGGGCAGTCGCGAGGGGCTAGCAGAGGAGGGGAGGAGGAGATAGGACCCCAGGAATGCGGGCCAGGAGTCTGCGTTGTGTAATCTGTTTCGGGCAGCGCGTGGTGGTGGCGGCGGGGGATGGGAGTGTGGCTCAGGCGAAAGAGAAATTTTAGGGATTATTGCAGAAAAGGGGCGGCTCCTTGGACTTGTCCCTGTCCCCTAAGGGTTTGAGAGGTAGAAGGGTTAGCGATGCTGAAAGGCCTAAGTGTTTTCCGCAGCCTTTCCCCGCTCTCCTCGCCGGCTTGATGGCGGCTCTCTTCTACCTTGGGAGCGCACTGGAGGTCTTTTATGTTCTTGGCGTGGTTTTGTATGGGTGTGTGCGCGCGCGTTTCAACTGTTTCATTTTGAGTTTAGTCAGTCGTAGCCATTGATAAATAGTTCCAGGGCCCTCAGCGCTGTGAGAGTGAAAAGATCAGCAGTTCTTCCTCCCATTTATTTGGCGTAGAGTCTATTCTCTTCCTGCCGCCCCACCCCCCGCGGGCGTTTATTTCTTTATTTCTAGTTTGGCGTTTGGATTTGAATGGGAGGTATTGGAAAAGAACCTGGGAATTTTCCATCAAAATTGTTTTGGGAATGAGATCTTGCTTTTGTCAGATGTTTCCTAAATACTGTGTTCCAGCTCTCAGCTTACAATAAACACTGCGATTGTTTATATGCACAGGTTTTATATGCACCATTCTTTCACCAAATTCAACAAAAATGTAAGTACTAGTTTGTTGCCTGTTTTTACTATGCGCAAATTTGAGGGTAAATCGATACGCAGAAAAAAAGTTGGTCATTGCGTTGTTGGATTTAGTGTTCTGAATTAACGGTAAACGTATATCACGTGATAAATATTTTGCTTCAAATGCGGGCTTTTTGTGTTTTTAAAATTTGTGATGAATTAAACTGCAAGGCACTGTTAAGCTCTGCCAGGCCTTTTAGGCTAAAAAAATAAATTTACTTCTTTAGAGAGTTATTACATAAGTTTTCTTCATTTAAATTTTATACCTAACATTTGAATAATTTCAGTAGTAATGTACAGTGGAATTGGACAAGTCTGGTCGTTCTGTGATACATCTTAATTATGTTGTACTCATTGTTTAAAATACTGTGAATTGAAATTAAATTAATTATGACATTCTTTTGAAAGAGCTGTTTAGCAGAAATAATTCATTTCTTCATTTGCTAACCCAGTAATTTCTTAAGATGTCAAACTTTTCTGTTTATCACGTTAGCATCAATTGTCTCCTAAAATTTTGGGTGATTCAGACGTCAATTCTTGCTTCAGATATAGTACGTCAGGAGTATGTTTATGTATTAGTAGTAAAATTTACACTTGAATATTAAGGTACATAACCTGTAAACCTTGACAAATAGAGTAATAGAATTTTGTTGAAATGTTAATTTCGTTTATGAAAGATGAGTTTGGTGTATGTTAAGTAACATGCATACTGTGTTGTGTGTGAATAAAGAAAATTGCATATTTAGAAATGTTTAACCCTGCTTTAATTCTATTTTTGTTACTTTTTATCATAGTTATTTTTAGAGTATTATTCTGAAAGGTATGTGTAGAAAAATGAACCAAAGAAGACTTTCTGCTGTATGTGGATAGTCATTAGGACTTATTTGCTAAGAGAACAATCCCAGGAAAGATCCTCAGAATATTATTTTTGAAATGGAAGAAAGGCTTCATGGATTAGATTGAGTCCTACCTTAATCTCCTCGGATCCTATTTCGTTTATCAGTTTGGCATATAGGTTTATCTTGGACCATATATATTTTAATATACATTTTGGTCTTTTGAAGACTTCTTGCTTCTATTTCTTTTTTAAATCTGCGTAGTTCTTGCTCTGTTGCTTCTAGTTTTCCTAGTTATTTCTTGTGCATAACTTAGGTCAGTGATAGTGTTATGGAAGAGAAAGGAAGCCATTGGTGATTAAATTTAGATTAAGAGAATTTAATTTTTATATAAATTGCTTCCAAAGGCAGTAGTGAACTAATGAGTGTTAATATAAATGTGGTTTTCCTTACGTAATCCTGGATAATAATGGTCGAAATTACAAATCAAAATAGTTCTGACTATTCTTTATATGGCTACAGATGTCTCATTTGCTGTCTGGTTTCTACTTCCAATAAATGATCTAGCCACAAGTCTTCACTTATTTATTTATTTATTTATTTATTTATTTTTGAGACGGAGTCTCACTCTGTCACACATGCTGGAGTACAGTGGTGCTGCCGCAGCTCACCACAACCTCTGCCTCCCTGGTTCAAGCTATTCTCCTGCCTCAGCCTCCCGAGTAGCTGGGACTACAGGTGCATGCCACCATGCCCGGCTAATTTTTGTATTTTTAGTAGAGGGGGGTTTCACCATGTTGGCCAGGCTGGTCTTGAGCTCCTGACCTCAGGTGATCTGCCCCCCTCGGCCTCCAAAAGTGCTGGGATTACAGGCATGAACCACCGTGCCCGGCCATCTTCACTTCTTTGTTTTGAGCCCTCCTTATAATTTGTCTTTATGGCCTGGTTGGCGTGCTTTACAACAAATACCCTGCTTAAAGCCAGAATTCACAACTTTAGATTGTCATTTGCATTCTAGCTTTCAGTATTTTACTTAAATGTTTTCCTTCAATAGAAAGGCCAGGGTATTAATTTTTTATTACCTTCTTTAATGTCATATTGTGGATGAAGGTAAACCAGGATTTTTACGTAGAGTCATTAATAATTGAAATCTGTTCATTTCTGTTTTGAGAAATAGTATTATACTTTTCATATCTGTTGTCTTTTTTACCTTTGCTATTATAATATCGAAAGTGGTTTTTATATTTGTGTCAGTGCACTTGCATCAGTTACACAGCCTCACTTTTATCTCCCCCCCCCCCCCCGTTCTTTTAGGGCAAAGGGGGTGGTCTGAAATTGAATGTGAGTCACTTTTAAATTTGTATTATTCCCCATCAGTGGGAAACTTTTGTCTATATACTGAAATGTCATGGTAAACTTAAAAAAGCATGAATCTTCACCAAACTGAACACCATTCAGCAAATTAAACCCTATGAAATAATAAGCCTAAATAAGTTAAGACGCTAGTGACAAACTCTATCTAGTCTTATAGTTAATATTAATAACATCCATTAACTGTATGAAAATATTTTTAAATGTTCACGTGACTTAATTTTATTTTCCAACATTGTAATATTAAAAGTTTTAAAACCCCCAAAAGTAATGTGCTGTTGTATTACTATTTAAGAATAAAATCAGTATCAGCATGTTTTGGTGACCCAGAAATGGTCTCTTATCATTGAGTTCTTTTGTCTGTTACTCAGAGTTGAATAGCTGTCAGCAGTAAATGACTTTTATATGTAGCCTAATTAGATAAATCTACACTTTGTTCACTAGATGCAATGCGGTTCATGTAATTGGAATTAATAAAGAATGGCCTTGCTGGATCAAGCTTAAAAATAAATTTAGTAAAGTGTAAAAGCCCCTGAGCCAAAAGTGCTGCCAAGGTGTATACTGAAGGAAAGCACCCACCCCCCAGGTCACACTTAAGTAGATATTGATGCAGCTTCTCTTACAAACTCCTGATTTAGTCTTTTGTGATGCATTTTTTTCTTATACCAGTTCCAAGTCCCTTAAGATTAGATTGTAAAGAGCACACCCTTTTCTAAGTATTTTTGTTGGTCATGGTCTGTTCTCATAGCACATCTCCAATTTACTTGATCTTTTCCATCTTCTCTTTACTTAGTTCCATTGCCTCTTTCTTGAGCTCTACCAATCAGAACTCCGTGTATAATATGCAAGATTTAAAGGTATTACAGGGCCTGGCATGGTGGCTAATGCCTGTAATCCCCGTACTTTGGGATGCTGAAGCGGGCGGATCTCTTGAGGTCAGGAGTTCAAGACCAGCCTTGGCCAACATGATGAAACCCCGTCTCTACTAAAAATATAAAAATGAGCTGGGTGTGGTGGCACATGCCTGTAATCCCAGCTACTGGGGAGGCTGAGGCAGGAGAATCGCTTGAATCTGAGAGGTGGAGGTTGCAGTGAGCTGATTCACACCACCACACTCCAACCTGGGCAACAGAGCGAGTGTGCATTTCAATGCATTGTTATACTCTGGTCATGTTTTACAGGTGTCAAATCAGCATGTGTTTCATTGTGAAGTCTAAGCAGATGTTTATTATAGCTCACTTCCTCTTCTGCCTTTTAGTTTAATAAAGCAATAATTAATCCAAGAATAATCTTATGCCCAAGATCCATTAGCATTACTCAGAAATACTGCAGTGCTGTCCAGTAGAACTTTCTGCATAGTGTAAGTTTTGTCTATTTGTGCTCTTCAATGTAGTAGGTATTATCTTGTAAATTTGAGACGGTTAGCCTAGATAATTTTTAAATTCCTTTTAAACTATAAATTACCTGGTTGAAGTTTTATTAAGATCTCACTATGGCAGGCACTTTATATTTGTCTTGTTTTCTCAGGTAAAGTATTCTCCTAAGGAAGCAGACGCAGTTACTAAGTGACTTGTCCAAAATTAAAACTATTATGTGGCTGGGATTTGAACCCAAGTCCTTTGCTTAATCCCAAACTGTAGTTCTCACTTTTTCCTATTCTAGTGTATTTCAGAAGTAGAGCACAATAGCAATTTATGCCAGTGATTTGTAAGATTTATAAAGTAAACAATGAAAAAAACCTCAGATTTTGATTTGCCCGCCTCATTGCACTAAATCCAATGAGGTCCTCTTTATAAGTCCCAAATTCCTCTTTTTCAACTATACATCAGTGTTAGCATTTATGCATTGTGTATCACTGTTTTTCTTTAGGGTGCTTTCTGTTTGCTTTCATGTGACTGTTCTCTGTCAGGTTTTAAGACTCAGCTGAAGTTCCTACTCTTTCATAAAGCATTCCCCAGATAACTCTCTTTTCCATTTGTGAATTTCTGTCTTTGATCTTGCCTTTGAATCTTATTCACATCAGTTGTATTCCATCTGTTTGGGAGTTTATAGTGTGACTGTACATATGAGATGACTTTTTTTCTTTTTAATTATAAAATATATAAAACAAACAAATGTATAGCTTAGGGGATTATTATAAAACCTTGTAATCACCAACCAAGTCAAGAAATAGAACTTTGCCAACTACCCCAGAGTGCCTCCATGTGCTCAACTCAGTGTCAACCCCTCCCGCCAAAAGTAACTAGTATTCTTTTTTTTGAGATGGGATTCTGGTCTTGTCACCCAGGCTGGAGTGCAGTGGTGCAATCTCGGCTCACTGCAACTTCTGCCTCCCGAGTTCAAGTGAATCTCCTGCCTCAGCCTCCTGAGTAGCTGGGATTACAAGTGTGCGCCACCATGCCCAGCCAATTTTTGTATTTTTAGTAGAGATGGTTTTCACCATATTGGTCAGGCTGGTCTCAAACTCCTGACCTTGTGATCCCCTCACCCAGCCCCAGTATTCTTACTCTAACAGTAATTACTTTCTTTATAGTTTTAGCACCCAACTCTCCATTCCCAAATACCATAGACCTCGCTCATTATTAAAAATTTGGCAAATCTTTGAAGTCTCTCAGTATGCATGTTTTCCCTCCATTCTTCTATGTCACCTAAGTTTTATCTGTTGAAGGACCCTAGGGTGTGTGACCTGTAGAGTTTCCACCTGTCTGAATATTGCTGATTGTATAGTCACGGTGCAGTTTACTGTGTTCCTTTGTTCTTGCATTCCTGG